GTGATAGACACTGCATGTAAAGCAGAGGAAGTCACAATACAATCTCTGCCATTAAGGCAGGGAAGAACATACAGAATGAAATAGATATCATGAAGTATTTACAGAAGTTGAGATTCGGATTGCTACGGATTGCTTTTTATTTCACAAGACAGAGGAAAAAGTCAAGCATGATTTTTCATTTTGTTTTTTCAAGTTTCTGGCTATCCTGTCATGTATAATTCATTACATTCTTAGCTTCTAAAACTAAATTGGCATAATTATAATTTTTTTAATTGCTACATGTTGTTTTTTATTGTGTCAGGATTTTCCAGGGCTGCTTTTAAAATAATTTTACTCGTTTGGAAGAAAATGCACAGTTTTTAATTAAATAATATTCTGTGGAAATAGTTTGAAATTGCATAATGATTTTAATTCTTTATAGGAAACAAAGACAATATAGTGCACGTGCATGTTTTCAAACTGCAGACAGCATAACAAGATAAAAAGAATTTCAGAAAGTTAAGCTAAAGTGAAGAACATGTGAGAAAAGCTTATATTCCTGAGTCTGTCAATAACTTTGTGCAAAAGTCATAAAATAAAAAATTAGAAAATCTTTCTTATTACTTACATGAAGTTAGGAATGTCTGTCAATGAAGCTAGAGACAGATGAGATGAAGAAAATTGTGACCAATGCTACTCCTATTGAACCTAAGAAATAAATTGTGACTATGGGGTGCATCTGGCTTCTTTTCACACCAACAGAAATTAGCCATTGATATCCAGGGGAATGAAATGGGTCTTGCCTGATACAGTATGTTTTGACTATTCATTCAGTACTTTTTAATGAAGCAACTAAATTAGGCGTAACTTGCTACAGCTCTAATGAACATATTGCAAATTATTAAAAGAATAAAAGTAGGTGGTCTTAAATACTGTCTAAGTAGATGGCGATCCAAAGAGCCTTGGAAAGGTGGTAATGCAAGGAAATATTCTTAAAAGCAGTTCCTCATTGTTATTTTGCAGTGAAAATATAATAGCAATAATATTTTTCTTTAGCCATATAACATTTGTTTATATGTTGAAGCAAAACAAATTATTTGTTCTATTTTAACTCTATTTCTCTGATGTTTTCTAAACTTCTTCTCTGAAGCACTCACCTTAAATGAGAAAAACCTGAGAAGGCTCTCTTTGAAACCTCGGATAACTAACATCTTTCAAGAATAGTGGGCTAAATTGTACTACTCTGTTAATTTAAGTATTGAAGACACATGTTCTGGTTTTAAATATTCTATAAATTTCTGTATGACTTCAGATCATGTGGCTTTTTTGCGTGTTGTTTACCTGCTTCAAAATATAACAGTTTCAAGCAGTCCTGTATTTTTAAATAAAGCATTCATAACTTGTCTGGCTGTCACTGAAGTTCACATGTGTTTATATTGTCTAATTCTTTCACTACCATTACTAGTACTTAGCAGACAATATTTCATCCTAAATATTAAAAAAACCCAGCAAATTTACCAGCTTTCTCTGGCTAGTGAAGAAGCTATCTCAGACATCATTGTACACATACTACATTAGAACAAGAAAGATGAATAACCTAAACGGGCTTCTGAAAATGGCTACATAAAATTGCCACTCCATATGGTAGTGACAACTGCAAATGAATTCCAGGGGTCAAATTATGTGGGTTTCATAAGGAACAATAAATAAATAAATAAATAAATAAATAAATAAATGAAATAAATAAAATTTTGAAAAAGCTTTTTATCAAAAAGCACCACACAAATACCACATTTGTAGTACCGTAATAGCATAAGGTATTTTGAATGCACTGCACAGCAAGTAGATAGATAGTTATTTACCTAATAAAGTTTTCTTTGGTGTTAAGATGCAGCTTGAAAACAGTTAAATCTAAAAATCACATTGGCATAACCAAGAACAGGATGTCTTGACAATACGAAAAGAGCATGTGCCTTCTCCTGAGATTCACCTGTCGTTTGTTCCTGCTGCAGGTGAATCTCTGGTAGGGAGAAAAAAAATGTTCTGGTTCCAATACAATGAGTAGATGGAATCTCTGCTGTCTCTCCTAGTTGCTTTTGTAAGAGCCATAAGCCCTGTTTACTAAATTCCATATTAGATACCAGGCAAATTATACCTATTATGAGATGAGACTTCCTAACATGCTTTGCAAAGTGATGTGTAAGAGTTGTTTTGTTGCAATTACCTCAGAAGCTTTTGAACATGAGGAACAGATTGAAGAGATGGTTTGTGGGAAAATCCATAGAAGAGAATCCTGGAGGCAAGCCTAACTGCCGCCAACCACATCTGCTAAAATCCCAATTAAAAAGAAAACATGCCACTGTAAATTCCAGGTCTTGTGAAGTGAAAAGATGGAGAGCAACGTAACTGTTGCTGAAAGGTGTGCTGATATAAGTGGACTAAAAGCCAAGTAATTGGTAAAAGTTTCTGGATGAGATCCCACATGAGTATTAACAACTTTGCATGCAGTATATGAATTGCATAAATACAATGGTCAAGAATACAAATCCTATCTAGTAGTATCATAGGAATTAAGAATTTTATTTTTTTAATTTTTTTTTTTTTTTTTAAACTGACCCTACAACGAATGCAGTTAAAATTCACCATGGTCAAGTAAATCTAGATGTTTTCAATACTGACAGAGTTGACTCTTTCGTGTCTTCGTCAGTTGCAATTCAAACAGGTGTTTAAAGAGAGGCTAACCACAAGAACTGCTTCCTCTAAACCCTGCAACATTGCTCCCCAAGAAAAAACCTTTGGCGGTTTTAACTAACAGTGGGCAATTCACTTTGTATCTTTCCTATAATAAACCTTAAGACACCAAAAGGGATCATATCTATGATCTCTTGCAAAACAGACCTAATAGAACTTAGTCAGATAATTCATGTAGTGACAAATAAACCTATTTCGGTACGTCCATTTTTAATTTAACAATATCAAACATTTATCAAATATATATGAGGTCGATATAGTAACTTTGTACGGATACATTTTAGTCAAATCAGAGGCTTTCTCCTTTTAAGCTTGGAGCTAGGAACTGTAAACCGTGGTAACAGGGACTTGTTTTTAAGATGCCTGAGATCCGGTTGTGTTCCAAGATCTATCATACAGGAAAAAACCAAAACAAACCAGTAATTGAAAAGATCCCGTAGTATTTTTGCTTGTTCGGGTGGATTTTGTTGCCTTTTTTGTTTCGTTTGTTTGTTTGGAGGGGTTGTTTGAGTTTTTGGTTTTTTCTCGGGGACGAGCGTCGGTTTGTCTATCAGTTAATCGGAGGGAGAGTTGTGAGTCGTGAAAATCCTGCCGGCAGCAGAACACACCGGTTTCTTGCAGAACCATCTGCACCGGAAAACAAATTGCTTTCGACGTCCAGATTCACTCTTTAATGAGAAAATGACTCACCACCAAACTTTCCCATTCCCGTCGGAAAATGCAGTTTCCCGATGACGGCCACACCGTGGTGACCGAGCGCTTTCGCCTTTCCCCCCGGAGACGCCGCCTCCTCGCTGGCAGCGCCACACGGGGCGGCTCAGCGCCCGCTGCCTTTCTCCGCAGGCTCCGGAGCCCTGCACGCCGGCCCCATGCCCGCAGCTCCCCGCCCAGCGNTCAGTGCCGTGAGTCCCCAGCCGCAGCTGCCCCGCGGGGCGCGGCAGGTGTCCCGTGCGGCGGAACCCGCGGCCGCTCGGTCCCGGGCCGCTGCCAGCGCCGAGAGCGGCTCCCCGTTTCTCCACAAAAGTTATCTGGACTTTGTTCCCCAAGCGGCACGTCGCCCCCATTCCCCAGCTGGGTTGCTATTTGGGCGGTAAGGGTTGCGCTGTCCCCTGTCCGTGCCCGCAGGTCTCTTCGGGCCCCCGAGCCTGCGCTTGCTGCGCAGTCCTGTCGTGGAGGGCGGTGAGAGACTCCCGCGGGGTTTGCAGCAGCACCCGGTGAGGGTCCCGCGGGAGAACAGAGTATCGTCACCGACGGGACACCTCAGGCGGGGAGAGCTGCTGGTCCGCTGGGGCTGGAGAGGGGCTGCGTGCTGGCGCGCCGGGCACCCAAGTGGGTGTGGAGCGCTGCGGAGGACGTGGGAATGTGTTCTTTCCGCGTCTCCCAGGACCAGACTCCCCTTGCGCCCCATCTCCGGGCCAGGCGAACACTGATGCCGGAGCAGGAACAGCCCCTGCCAGCCGCAGGCACCCGCGGATGGCATCAACTGAGGCATCAGCTCCTTCGCCCCCCATCTTCCACACTGCCCTTTATCACCCGGTTTGGCAGAGCGGTTGCTTGCCTCACCCATGGCTTGGTAAAAGGGACAAAAAGTATTCTCTACCAGGGTATTAGAACGGAGGAGAAGGGTTTATGGGGAGTGGGACGCGCTGGGGGTTGACAGTGACACTGCATGCAGATTTCTTGATCTTCCATTTAAGGACGGGGGACACACACACACACACACACACAGACTAGGAAGAACTTCTAGCTAGAATTTCAGCTTGTTCGATGCCAGCTCCTGTAACAGCATGCGTTAACACACTGCAAAACCACACGTGTGTAATTCGATTTAAAGGAATTGTAACTATGACATTTGCACAGATCAGCTTAAAAATACCTTCTTTTCCCCCAGCGTTCTTTGTTAGGGTGTTGGTTGTGGGGCATCTGGCAAGAACCTGCTAAACGGTGTTTGTTTTTCTTAAAAGCAACAGGAAAGAGAGGGAAAACACTCAGTTCTGTAAAGTGGCCCCTTTGCAGGTTGGTTTGGAGGTTTTCTGTTTGTTTGAGTATGGTTTTTTGTGGGTTTTGGTTTTGTTTGGGTTTTTTCATTCTTTCTTTTTCTGCGCAGCAGAGCACCTCCAATTTGAATAAAGCCAGTCAGACATTGTCTGGGGCTGTTTTTCAAAACGTGCCCATCCAGTGACCCCTGGTCAGGAGCCCCAACGCCCCTTTTTGTGGCCAGTTCATCCACAGAAACCATTGCTCCCACACCTCTCATCCCCTGCCCTGGGATGGATGGGCTGTGCAAGGGTGAAGAGAGGGAGGAGAGATCCCTCTCCTCAGATGCTTTCCTTCTAAACAAGGCTGAGGGCGGTCTAACTGCCCTGGGCAGGGAGACGGACGGAGGTAGGTCTTGCTGCACATCTGGCAGCATCTCTTGTGGGATCTGCCCCAGCTCTCTCTGCCGCCCCTTTAGCTGTGCTGTCAGCTACTGCGAGGAGGTGCAGCTCTGCCCCTAGAATGCAAATTAGTATTTGCACTGCATTTGTCCTTGCTCAATAGGGAACTTACAGGTGGGGAAATAAGGGCTGGGATGGATGGAGGAGAAAGACAAACAGGCAGCTTTCATCCTTGTTCGGAGGTGATGTGCTAGAGGTCAGTAAAGGGAAGTTTTACAACAGGTGTGTGTCGAGGCAAGAGCAGTGCTTCACACCGCCTCAATTAAAAGCGAATGTTACACATTAATTGAGCGTCTGTCTGCTGTGGCTTTCAAAATAAGGGAAATAGATGAGTGTCACAGTTCACAGATTGTGAGCTCCCATGAATTTGTGCTTTTAGAGAGCTGAGAGCCTTCTTCTAGAGGTGTAGTTGTTTTCAACTCTATTTGCAGTTGGTTTGAAGGAGGAAGCGCTCAGTCTTGAACATGTGAGCTGTTCCCCCAAACTTTCCCAGCTGAGCTGTGATCCTTCCAAACTGTAGTTAATGCAGTTAACACAACATGCCTGGGATGTGCAGAGGCTGCTCTGGTTCATTACTGCTCCCCATTGGAGATGGAGGCCAAAAAGTTCCTGAAAATAACCATCTTCTGTTAAGTTCAGTGCCTGCTGAATCCCAAATCACTGGACAGCCCCACAGACTGTCAGTTGTCCCATCCTGAGGAAGCCAAGATAACATTTTCAGCTGTTGGTGATGTTCTATCCAAAATAATCATTTTGTGCACTTCAAACCTTGATTTCAGTCCCATTAAGCAGACGTAGTCATACTGCCTTAAAGCAGAACAATGTACAACTGAGCATTTGCTGTTAGGGTAGGTCCATATACTTCTGTCAGAAAATGGAATTTTTTGAGGTTGGTGACTTTTATACCAGTATTTTATAGAGGCAAACATAGGATAAAAAGAAATTCACAGTGAGCGTTCATCATAGTTTTCCTTCCTCCTGTCCCACTCCTAGCAACATCCTGTGAGGGAGTTAAGAACATAGAATATGAACCTATGTATTTTTTAGAAAAAGAGTACAGAAAATGCACTAAAATGATTGTGCTATTTAACTGAAAAATTTGTCCTTGTAGTTTATTTATTACTAAAATGATTTGTAAAGCTTAAAGCTATTAAAAGTTAGTCAATTCTGCGTATAATGCAGCTGTTACACAAATGTGGAGGGTTGTCTATGGCAAAAAAAAAGTGTCAGAACATCTATTTTTACTCTGGGAACATGCTACTCATACACAAAACATACTAAAGTCAGTTTTGTGATTTTAACTATTTGAATTATGGAAGTGACATTTGTAACCAAGTACTCCACTTATTACAAAAGTAATATTTTAACTTTTAGTTGAAAATCTTATTAAAAACTTTTTCTGTTATGTTTTAAAGAAAAGGAACACCACAAACCCCTGAAGCCAAGTATTTTAAGAGGGTTTTCTCTGTAGTGTTTTCTTGTTGGTGTCAGGACTGAGCAGTGACGTATGTTACATGATGTTATGTACTTACTGTATTTCTTAGTATGACTGAAATATTTGTAAGAAATTAGAAAAGTGAACAAACAAATTCTATCTGCAGTATTTCTAAGCAAGCTTATACAACATATACAAATAGACTGGCTAACTTTCAAGTTTTCTTAATTGAGGGGATGAGTGCAGGGAATCTTTATAGACTTATTAACTTTAAAGGAAAATTATTTTTCAATTTATTCCAGAAAAAGTAAATAAATCTCTATTTGTAATATGTAACATTAATAATCTAAAATGCATCAATTGCATTGACTATTTAAAGAAAGGACTTAGGACCTTACCCTACTAAAACTGTAAAACCAATTTGTCCTCACAGTGCGTCTAGAGACTCCTTAATTGAATAATTTTATTTGACTTCATTGGGACTCCTTGATAGGTGATAAAGCACAAGTTTCTGGTGTTGATGTTTGCAGGTAAATTTTAATAAATGTCAGTAAATGCTTTGAAAATCATGGGTCTGTAATAAACTGTATCATGTAACAAAAAATACAGATGTGCATAGTCAGTAAACAGTGCCACCTCTCTAGAATGAACAAAGTAAGGGAGAAAGCATGAGAGCCCGTTTGTACCTCAGCTATAGTGCTGCTTTTCATTGGATCATACTTATATTCCATATGGTATCTTCCTTCTATCTTTAACTGTAATATGTTACAGTATTGGAGGTCAGAGGAGAATACATAATGAAAGTTTATCGATAGATAACTAAAAGATTTAATATCATATAGATATAAGATTTTTTTCATCATATAATTTATTTATTTTTTAAGTTAGATTTGTTTTTCATAGATGGAAGTCTGGTGACAGTTAATTTAAAAACTACAAAAATACCATGTGCATTGACTGGGAATAATATCTCTTTTGTGGTATAGAAAATATGACTTCCACTGTTAGCCTTTTACAAATCCAGTCACAAGCAATAAGTTGGTATGATTTTTCTAATTTGACAGTACAGTAGTAGAGGTCATTTAAATTGTGGTTTTTTTATTAAAAAACTATGGTTGGCATTTGAGGAGTAAATCTATCAGGAAGAAAAAAAGGTCCCAAATAGACAAGAATTCTGGAAGTCATAATTCCTGTTTAAAATGTACTTGTGATAATGTGTGGAAAGTCTTTAGGACGCTGTGGAAGGTATTTCTATATATCAGAGTGACGTTTGTGTCCTCAGAAACATGTGGGTAAGGTATGCCTTTAACAGTAACTGTTTTGTTAAACAGTTAAACAGTTCCAGGACCCAGGGTCTGCCATAGTGTGCACATTGGTTACCTGGTACAGGAAAATAAATTCGAAGGCGTGAAAGATTCCCAAGTTATCCGAGAAATTCCTACCTCTCAAGCGGTGCAGTGAATTCCCAGAAATTAAGGTCTGCACTGTGAAACTGAAGATTGTATGCTTTGTAGCTGAAGATGCACACAGGAGTAAATATTGATTGAAGTAATCATCTGGTGAATATAAATGAGCTTTATCAGTGCAGCAGTATAATGGCTTATGTTAACTAGCCCTTTTGTAGTCCATACCCTGCCCTTTCATCCCATAACCGTGTCAATTTTGCTTTTAAGGAGGAAAATTACAGGTGTTACATTTATGGTAAATTGAGCTAAATATAATAGTTGTTCCACAGGACAAAAGGGAAATAGTTAAAAAGATAAGAAAGTCTGAGCATTGTTGCACAATCATGTGATAACAGTAGTGTGTTAGTGGCTGTACATTGTTTTACAGTTCTAAGTTCTCACTTGCTGTTGAGCTTAGTAATAAGCCTGTTACAGCAACTTAAATCAAAGTGTAAATTTTAAAAAACTGATACATTTGAATTTAAAATCAGTTTCTTTAAACAGTAATTTTAACAGCTTTGTGCATTTAGCACAGTTGGGGCTTTCCATAATGACTTTCATAGACTAGCTGTAGATGTCAAAATGTTGTTCTTTGTGCTCTGTGTTTAAAAAAGTTCAATGTTGTTTTTTCTTCCGATTCTGTATGCAGTCTGGCAAAGTCTGCAGTGCAGCTTGGAGAATAAGACATCACACAGTGTCACTGGGGGTGGCAGACAGAAGGTGCCTTTTGGATTGTGCCATTTCCCTGTTTGTTTCTAATATTGGTTTCATGAGCACATTAAAAACTCTAATTTATGCACAGGATTGAGAATACAGTACAGCTGTGATGGCCTGGTCCTTGTTTGACTGAACAATGCTTACTCACTTGAGTGGTCCTATTAATGAGACATTTGGCCCTCTGCATTTTTGCAGTCTTGGAACTATTTTTTATGAAGCAGAAATGTTCGTGCTTAACTTTGCCAGACACATTCTGCTGGAAGTTTATGCAAACAGAGTAACAGCTGTTTCTGCCTCTGCTACAAGTATATACGCTAATTTAGCTTGACATAAATGTTGTTACTTTGCTGTTAATTGTGAATTATTTTGATGAATTGCCAATTAAAATGCATGTACACAATTTTTATGGAAGATCTTTTTCTTTTTACTTTTACTGCTGCACAAAAATGCAATAATTTTTTTAAATCTTGTGTTTATCTGGATCATGGCCATTTAAAACCACATACTTATTAAAGAGTAAACATCAAGTAATTATGTTTGCTTGACAGACAAACTCATTTATAAAGAGTTGTCATGGGCCTTGTATATGTGAGTAGTTCAGTTAGATTTTATGGGACTATTCACAGAAATAAGGCAAGCTGAATTTAAGACTGGTTGTTCCGTGTCCCTTGGAAACCAATGATTTGAGATTGTAAGCAGCATGAATGATTATAAAGGCCACAGGGAATCAACATCATAAGAAGCATGCCAAATTTAAAAAAGTCTTCTTGCCCTGAAACTTCTGTAAAATCACCTTCCACTCCTTACTGTCTGCTACTCATCAGTTTGAATACAGCTGTTTGCTATATAAATATTTGCTGGAAAGAAGTGTTTGTAAATACGCTACATGTTTTCTCTGCAGAGGCTGACATAGAAAAAGTATTCAAAAACATTGTTCTCTTGCCAATTACCAATAAACTACTTTGTTTAATTGTTGTGCTTATGCTCATTACTGTGCTGTTGCTACTAAATAGTGGCCAAATCAATCTTTAAGTAATGATTAGGAAAACACATACATTTGTAATACATTTATGAATGAATATGCTACATAGGGTAATAAATATTTTAATATGGCTAAAAAGCAATATAATTTTAAGGCTAGTTTTGATGATTATTACAAAGTAAGTCTATAAAGCAGTCTGTCTACTTACAGATGTTCTTGAGGTGGTATCACATTTAACTGATTTGTTTTCATTACCCCTGGTCACTTAGGTTTCCTGAACAAGCAAACTCCTTCCATAACAAAATTACTCTTTTTAAGAGTCGTATTTCTGCTTCCTTAATCCATGGTATTCATAAGTGAAGTTATCC